GGGCAAACAGCAGCAGGGCATAGCTCTGGCTCCCAGTGCTGCTGTGCCTGCATCCTGTGACCCCCCCACTTCCAATTTGATTCAGACCTTTTAATTGGTCTCCTGATTCGATTCAGATTCAGAGATTCGGCTGCTGAACCAGGCCAAATCTCCAAATCGAATTGGCTACCGAAGCTTTGCACAGCCCTAGTAATTGGGTCAAAATTTAATCTCAAAAATGTTTTGTAGGCTGCATCCACACAAGTGTGGGTGTTTGGTTCCCCAGGAGCAAGAAGCAGGAGCACACGTGCCACTACTGCTTGTCCCTGGGGAAAATCCATGCCACGCACCCTCTGGCATGTGGCAGGTTACCCTGGGTGGGGTAGAGGAGGCTGGGGCCAGCAACTGTGCTGGGGACCAGAGGAGCTGCAGCCATAGAACTCCTGCAGTTGGGAGCTTTGTCAGCAGCCAGTGTGGGTCTGGTTGGCCAGACTCTGGTTTTGGGAGGCATGCACTGCCACCACATATACACTACTCTGCTTTTTTTCTCTGTGGCTTTTTTTTGACTCCAGGATCTCCCGGAGTCAAACCCCCTCCTCCTCTCCCCAGCACTGCAAGGTAGCAGTGTAGGGAATGCCTGAATGTGTGGTGTACAGTACCCAGACCAGTCTGTGGCGCCACATACCACATGGCCACGCTCATCTGGACACAGCCATAGAGCTCTTAAGTCTGCTTAATACTCAGAGGGCATGTATACACAAGGTGCTTATTGTGCAACTGACTAACTAGCTCCACAGTAAAAGCTCAGCAGCTACATGTGTTCCCCTATTAGGGTGCAGTAAACTAATAAACATCACCATAGGTTAGTACTTGTAAACACAAATATTGTTCTATGGTGGCGTTATTTAGTGCACTGCAGTGCATGTGTAGATGCTGGTATTGGCTGGGGCATGGGAGTGCTTCATTATGGTCTTGCCTGTTGCCTAGCACACACTAAAGCACCCTCATGGCCCAGTTACCCCCTCCACAGCACGCTGAGGTGAGGGGAACAGCCCAAGCTGGCAGGCTGACCCCTTGGGGCCCCCCTGCCAGCGGGGGCTGCTTCAGCTCAGCTCATCGTGTTGAGGTCCTGGGCACATGTGAAAATGTGGTGCTTGGAGCAATAACCTCTGACACAAACTGCACTAGATTTTATTGCATTGCATTAATAGCATGTGTTGACGTGTCTAATGTAAAGTAACTGGAGCTGATTCAGGATAAAAGCTATACACAAATAAAACTAATCATTGTAGTATATGATATATGCCATTTTGGAAATCTGGAGGTTCTTGTAGAAGTGCTTATAAGGTCATTAATAACTAAGACGTTTCAGTCTTTTAGGTACACATTTACATTGTTCACATTTAAGATGCAAGACAAGCCAATCTGTGCTGAAACAATAGCTTTCAGACATCCAAAGAATGATGAAGAAATTATTTGGCATGTTTTAAGAGGTGAAGTAGTCTTTTGCAGATTTAATGTATGTATCTTGGTGCTGGGAAAAGTATTTGAAATTGCTGATTTATAGAAAAAAGATGTGTAATCTGGTCTCAAACCTGAAGAAGAATGTCTTGCATTTTAAAGTTTACTTAATCCCAGCTGTGGTGTTGGTCCAATACAAGATATCACCCTAAGAAATCCTTGCCGCTCTCACGTTAGTAACTTCATCCATCCTGTTGGCATTCTATGGGTCTACTCAGGGAATGTGTGCAGAATCAAGCCCTTTCAATACCTCAAGTGCACAGCCTTTAGTTTAAAACTGTTGCACTGAAGTTTGTTCACAGCATAAAGTTGTTCCACGCAGTCATCCTTTCCATGGTGGTACACGCATTGGTTTCCATAGTATCGCCATATTTCTAGAAACAAAATGTTTTTCTGAAAGTTTCCTGGAACTTTTTGCTATTTGACTGTCTTTAATCTTAATCTGTCCTGGCATATTATAAAACTGTTTCATTCCTGAAGTTACATCTGAGAAAATGTTGACTCGTGTATTACAGACTAGAGCAAATCCAAAAATTTGCACTCCGATTCTTGATTATCCAATGGCAAGAAATATTCTGAACTTCCAGTTGGACATGGATTGCTTATGCTGGATCCTTAGATTTATGCAGTAAATGAGGCTAGATTGGTTTACACAACATGATGTTCTAATTCTGTACATCCTGTTTCCACAGATAAAAGGATGTTTAGAATTAGAAAAAAAAGTGGCAACGAATGAGGCAGACTTATGTCTGGTTTAACTCTAGTCATTTCAGTGGTAACTTTTGAAGGGTACTCAAAAGGTCTAAAATCTTCCTGATGCATGGTACTACAGTGGCAGGGTGTTAAAAATGCTATACTGAAACATTCTGTAGTTGCTTATGACCTAGAAGTGAATTAGTTTGATGAAATTATTTTCAGTAATCCTGCTTCCTTCACAATTCTATTTTTAATTTTTTACAAGATTTAATTCTGCATATCTTTTCCTTAATCTGAGAAGTCTGGATTTTTTTGAAAAGCTAGCAGTTCGTAAGCACTACAGCAGTAACCAAAACCAATTCTTGTCAAATCTCTTGAGCTTGCTCTTCTCAAAGCAATTGAGTGACTATGAGCATGAGCAGTTTAGTTGTTCTGGGGAGAATATCCTTCAAGCTACACTTAATATGCTATGAGATAACCTGAAATGTGATTAATTTTACATGATTATTTGTAAAGCATGATGAGGCCACACTCTCAGCTCATTAGTGTTTTCTCTGTTGGCATGGTTATAAGGTGATGATAATGCTGGTTAGCTGGTCCATTCCAAAATCTCAAGAAATGGGAGATCCCACAATAGTCTGGTTTTCATAATGTTCTTTTGGTGCAGTAGGAAGAGAAATACTGTGACATTACTTGGCCAGTGGTCACATTCACATTCTAGTTCAGGGGATTTCAGTCTTCTTTAACAAGTGTACCCCTTTGGTCTCAAAGTTTCAGTTCATGTACCCCTTCATACTTTTTTTCTGTTTTTAAGAGGGAGGACAGATCGAGGCCCCTGTGGTGAGGGAGGGAGTGGTGCTGCATAGGCAGAGAGAGAAAAAATTATTGAGGGGGCTGAGTGCATGTGTGCATACCCAGTCAGCAGGTAAGTCTGTGGAGAAGGGGCAATGGGGTGGGGTGCAGATTGAGGCACCCACAGAGAGGGAGGGAGTGGGGCACAGGCAGGAGCAGGGCTGGGGTGAGTGGGGCCCTGGCCAGGCCAGGAGGTGGGGAACCCCCAGGCCTCTGCTTGTCCTACCACCCAACATGGCTGGGGCCCCACTCACCTCAGCCCCTGCTCCTGTCCCGCTCCTTCCCTCACCACAGGGGCCTCGATCTGCCCCCTGCCTCTCGACAATGAAAGAGGGAGTGGGGCTGGGGATCAAGCCCCCCACAGGGCAGGAGTGAATCATTCACCCCTGCCCCTGGCCTGTGCCCTCCTGCACTGTGGATTGTCCCACGACCCAGTGTCCAGGGTCCCATTCACCATGAATGGAGCCGTGGCTAGGCCAGGTTGTGGGACAGCTGGAGCCCAGCAGCTCCTTCAGGGGTGCAGGGGAGGCAGCTCACACTGCTGTGCATACTGTGGGGGAACTGGGGGGGGGCATGTGCTCCCCTGTGCTGCACCCCAGAAGGAGAAGGAGCTGCTGGGCTCCAATTGTCCCACAGCCCAGCCTGGTTGGAGCCCCATTCACCATGAATGGGGCCACAGCCAGGCTGGGTCACAGGACACCCCCCACAGTGCAGGAGGGAGCGGGCCAGGGGTAGGGGTGAACGATTCACCCCTGCCTTACTCCCTTCTGCACTGTGGAGGGCTCTTTTTGGGGGGGGGGGGGCAGGCTGCACTACAGCGGGGGCTGTAGCCACCCCCAAATTTGCCATTTCCCCCAACCTCCTCCCAGTGCAGCCCAGTCCAACACCCCTGCCGGGAATAGCTGAGTGCTGCCCTGGCCTCAGCCTGCAGCAGCCCACAGTCTGCCCTGCCCCACGTGCTGATCTGGGAGCATGCACCCACTGTGCCCTCCCAGGGGTGCACGTAGTGGTGGCACTGGGGGGGGTGAATGGAAGTGGGGCTTACACGCAGCACCTGCTCCCGCCACCCCACTTGGCCACATGTCACCCAGCTTTCCTGTGGTTGGTCATGGCTCCACAGGCTACTGACGGGTCTCACGCCTGGCCAGTCGCGTGCTGCCAGGGGCCCCCTCCCCTGACCGTTCAGATGGGTGAGGGCAAGGAGGTGCCCTTGTGGAGCCAGTGGCACCTGGTGCATCCCTCCCCTTCCCCCTCTCCCGGGTAAGAGGCAAACACGTCAGGGGAGACACTGCCACTGTGCCCTGGGTATGCTCAGTTCCTGCCTACCTGTGTGTATCCCCTATGACCTGTCTACCCCTAGAGGTACGTGTACCCCCAATTGACAACTCCTGCTCTCGTTCATTTACTTATGTCATTCTCATTTGGTAAAATCAATCAGCAAATGAAGCTGCAGGGCACCACTAAGGTTCTGTGACAGAACTGGAACATCAGGGAGGGTGGGGACTAAAATAGAATGGGCTGCTTCAGGTCTGTAGCTATATGTTAACTGAGCAGAAACAAGGTTGAGATTTGCACTCTGACTCCTGCTTCTCTATGCCTGACTTGCTTACCTTTGCCAAATCAAAATCTTTAATTTATCTGTATAATACCATTTTTATGCCGCAGGAAGAGAGATTCCTCCTCTTGCAGCACATTAATAGGCACTATCAAAGAGATTAATGGCCACAGCAAACAGCAGCATTAAGGTATAAGGTACTGGTTGAAATTTCAGCTTTGCTTGGGGCTTTATAGAGATTTAGAAGATTATGACCGTGCAGTGAAGAAGAGCTATAACATGCATTGTGCATAAATTGTGAATAAGAGTACACCACTGTATAACTTCATTAAAGTCAGCAGTTTGCTTATATAGTGCTTTATTTTTAAGGTTTCATTTTCTTTTTGTCTCCCTGTAGAATGCGGAAGGATTTAATATGAGTATCCCTATGCCGGGTCACCCAGTGAATTTTTCCAAAGTAACAATGGAACAGGCTCAAAAAGATGTGGCACAGCTTGAGCAGCTCATTGATGCTCATGACATTGTTTTCCTGTTAATGGATACGAGAGAAAGTCGATGGCTTCCTGCTGTCATTGCAGCCAGTAAGAGAAAGGTACAGTAGCCATACCTTATAAATGTCTGGAATCATACTGCAAGTCTTATGCAATGACCCACTGTAATAACTCAATGAGAACTTTCAGTCACTGACTAATCAACAGGTTATATCATGCCATGATACAGAAAGGATGTGGACAAGCTGAAGAGAGGTTGTGAAGGGCAACGAAAATGGTTAAGGGCTTGGGGCATATGATTTACAAGGAGAGACTGAGGGAACTGGGCTTAAGTAACATGCAGAAGAGAAGACCAAGGTGGGATTTGATAGTAGCCTTCAACTACCTGAAGGGTAGTTCCAAAGAAGATGGAGCTAGACTGTTCTCAGTAGTGACAGATGACAGAACAAGGAGCAATAGTCTCAAGTTGCAGCAAGGGAAGCTTAGGTTAGATATTAGGAAGAATTTTCTCAGTAGGTTAGTAAAACACTGAAACAGGTTACCCAGAGAGGTTGTAGAATCTCCATCACTGGAGGTTTTTAAGACAAAGCCTTTGGTGGGATGATGTAGTTGGGGATGGTCTTGCTTTCAGCAGGAAGTTGGACCAGATGACTTTCTGAGGTCCCTTCCAACCCTAATTTTCTATGTTTCTGTGATATTCTAATTTTAGAGTTGACAACTATATCTCAGCTGAATCATATAAAGTTTGTTGAAAGCTTTTTTTTGAAAACAGTAATCTAACATCTGAGACCAGAAGCTGAAACCTAAAGTTCCAAAGTGTGTTGATTTGACAACATTTACTGTATTTTCCTGAATCCCAGAGGCCTTCAAATTCAAGACAGCTCCCCAATAATTAGATTCTTTATGTGGAAAAGTATACATTTGCTATTATTTTTCATGTATAGAATCTAATTATTGGGGGGTCATCTTAATCCCCCTGCAGTGCGGAAAGCAGTGGTGAGGGCCCAGAACCTTGCCCCCCCAACCACATCTCTGTCTCCCAATGTCTGTTTGCCTTCCTTCTGACTGCCCCTGACCTGTGCCCAGCTCCCCTTCTCCCCCCCCCTTCCCCCCCTAACTTCTGCTCCGATTACCTTCTGGGCTGCTCAGTCAGAGGCAGCCCCAGCTCTGGCTTAGCCTAAGCAGGCAGAAATAGTGGTAGCAGTTCTGGGCCTGGCTAGGCTAGGACTGGAGGGGGAGCTCAGTATAAGTGGCTGGGGGGGAAGGTGAAGGCCAGGCTGTGTGGTCTCTCCTGTTCCTCCCCCTCTCTGGCTTTTCAGAGCCAAACCACTTAGATTAGCTAGTACTCCATCTAAAATGACCCCTACCATGGTGATTAGTGGGGTGGGACAACTAGTCTTGCATTCAAATAAATATGGTATGTGATTAAAACTCCTTTCTGGGTTCACTAGGCAATGTATTTAATATTGGGACTGATACTGTTGACTCAAAGTCTGTCTGTGGCACCTGTTAGCTATAGTGCCTCAAACCAGATTAAACCAGACTACAAAATAATAAAAATAAAAAGGCATACTCATAATTGCATGCTGTTCAAGAATACATTGCTGAATATGATTCTTACTAGAATGTTTCAAATATAAAAGTATAAGACATATTTTTGTTTCTTAACAGCACTTGTCACCTCTAGGCTTAATAAGAATGACAGCTGTTACTTTTCTAGCCCTGGAGATTCCTTAGGCTGCGGTGCACTCACTAACACTCTTCCACAGTAGCATGGGGAGAAGAGCTGTAATTCCCTGGAGACTGGGGTTGCAGTGGACACGCTGCCAGCTGCTTCTCCCCACTCCTACTCCCTCCAGAGATTAGAGGGAATTTCATAGACATTAGGGCTAGAAGGGACCTCAGAATTGTATTGAGTCCAGCCCCCCACCTGAAGGGCAGAAAGTCAGCTGGGGTCATAGGATCCCAGCAAGATAAGTGTCCAGTTTACTCTTGAAGGTATTCAGTGTAGGTGCTTGAACCACCTCCAATGGCAGGCTGTTCCAGACCTGGGGAGTTTGGACAGTAAAGAAATTCTTCCTTATGTCCAGCCTGAAACGGTCTTGCAGTAGTTTATGACCGTTTGACCTCGTCATCCCTTGGGGCGCTCTGATGAACAAACTTTCCCCCAGATCCTGGTGAGCACCCATGATAAACTTATAGGTGGCCATCAGATCACCCCTGAGCCTGCGCTTTTCCAGCCTAAAGAGCCCCGTAGCTCTCAGCCTGTCATCGTAAGTTCTGTTTTCCTGACCTCTGATCATGTGTGTGGCTCTTCTCTGGACTCTCTCAAGCTTCTCCATATCCCTTTTGAATTGTGGGGCCCAAAACT